CATGGGATCTGAGACCAAGCCGAGATCTAAAGGGACAAATGGATACTGTTGTGTGAACAGAAGGCAAAGGCCAACCAGCATGAGGGACCAACTCAGTTAAAGGACTGATGTAAGAGCTGGCAGCTGGTTTTTTTGAACCACTTCTAAGACTCTGGAAGTTTGCTTGGGTATCTACTGCCTAGATCAATGTCACATACACACTAATGAAAAATGAATTGTCCTGGTCTCCCTACTGAATATATGGTGATACCCACACTGTCTTTTTCTCTTTCACATAGTGGAGGCATGGGGATGCACAGCTATATTTATAGCCACTGCTTCAGGGTTCCCACAGCTTGCACCAATGGTGGTACAGTTCCTAGATGAGAGAGAGAGAGAGAGAGAGAGACAGACAGACAGACAGACAGACAGACAGACAGACAGAGAGAAACACATCTGAAAAGGCCAGTGGGGAGGTTAGTTAGCATATTTCATTGACACAGTTTAATGTCTCTGAAATACAGATGCATTAATAATTGAAGGCAAGTCGTAATTTCATTGAGTATGTTATGGTTTGGATATAAAGCATAGAGATTCACATGTTGCCAGCTGAGTCTCTAGCTGGTGGCACTGCTGAGAGTTGATTGGATTCCAAGGCTGCTAACTTCCTCAATGGACTAACCCAACCATGAGGGCCCAGCTGCAGGAGATGTTAGGAGGTGGGACGCAGCTGGAGGAAGTGGATCACTGGGAGCACGACTTTGAAGAGTAAGTGCTGTCCTCAGCCCCTTCCTTCCCCACTCTCTCTGCTCCTTGGCTGCCATGAGGTGAGCTGCTTTCCTGCACCATGCCCTCTTGCCATGGTGCTTCTGCCAGGACAATGGATCCAGCCCTTTGAAACTGTGAGGCAAAATAAACCATTCTTGCCTTACCGTGTTTCACTCTTTTTTGTTTTTTATTTTTTATTTATTGTCACAGCCACAAAAAGGAACATAGACAGCAGTCTTCTCATTATTCAGAAAATAACAAATAAAATAACGGTGTATCTTCTAGCTGTGTTGAAATATATGCTACAAGCCATGACTCAGTCTTCCTGACCCCATCTTGTCACCCATGTAATGGTGTAGTAGATGAGTTGGTGCATCTTGTCACCCATGTAATGGTGTAGTAGATGAGTTGGTGCATTTAACATGCTTGGCCCAGAACAAAATCCAAGAATGTTTGTGTCCTTGCTTTCTCCTCATGCTCATGAGAAACACTGATTTTTATGATTACTTTTAGCAATACTGAGGATTTGAACACAAGGTCTTGGGCCTGGTGTGATTCTACAGAGCCATGTTCTCAGCCCTGATTTTCACTGGTTATTTTCAGAATAGGATTTTGCTTCCAGTGTCCAGCCTGAGCTGGACTCTGCCTATTTCAGTCTTCCTGTCATTGCTGGGATCACAGGTATGGACCACCATTCCAACCTCTCTCTGTGGAGATGGAGTCTTGTGTGCTTTACTACCCTGGCTCACCTAGAACCTTGATCCTCTGGATCTCAGCCTCCCATGTAGCTTAGCATACGTGGAGCTCCACTGCACCCAGCTATGGGTTGAGAAAGGTTCTCAATAGCTTTTCTGCAGAGACAAGCCTCAGAGTACACGCCTCTTAGTCTCAGCCTCCCAAGTAGCTAGGATTATGAGTTACTAGGACCAGCTCTGAGCATTTTATTTTGAACACTCAAGAGAAATCCTATGCAAACATGTGCACATTGAGGTTTATTTCTATACAAGCTGGACCCAGCTATCTTAACCTCAGGAATATGCACGAGTAGTTGGGCTAGGCAAAATATCCAGACGTAATGTAGCAGGAAGCATGAGACAGAGGAAAGGAGTCAAGAAAAGAAACAAATGGAATGTCTGGAAGCTTCTTGAACTCAACTCAAAGATAGGCTCTGCAACTGAAACCAAGCCAGAGGCCTGGCGGGCTCCTGAGAACCAGTGCAGATGTTCAGAGTCCTGAGCGAGGAGGTGGCTGACGGCATCCTCATCTGTGCCCTGCAGGCTGATTGCCTGGGGAAAGGTCCACGTGTGAGGTACAGAAATCCTGACTTGGATACGACACGAATGTCACTGAACCTTCATGTATGTGAAGAAGGCCTGCATCAGCCCCACTATAAGAAAAGTGGTCTATATGGTCCACTATTGACTAATGCCTTGGGCTGCCTGCCAGGCTCATAAACACCCTGCTCCCTGCCCTAGTGTAAGAAAAATATGTGGAGGAATTCAATATTGTCAGTCCCACATAGCCAGGGTGAAGGAAGAAAAGTATGTTATTGGATTGGGGAACTGGACCACCCTGGTGGAGAAAACATGGCAGGATGCCCGCCCTGGTGAGGACCCAGTTCTCAGGCATGCACAGTTGTCTTACTTCTGGACCCTTCTGGCAGGGCAATGGACCCTATGAGATTCCAGGCTTGCCAAAAAAATAGTCATATAATCTTATAGTTGGAAGGAACTGGGGGACGTAGTCCAGTCGCCTTCCCCACTCAGGGGTGGCCGAAGTCAAGGCTAGTGAACAGCAGAGCAAGCTTAGCCCCCAGCCTCCCTTGCATGTACATTTCACCTTTCAGCTTGCTTCAGTCCAAGGACTTCTATTTTTCAGATGTATTTAATATATGGATTCAATTATAAACCAACTGAGACCTAGTCCTTCCTTTAAAACCCACATCCTAATGTGATCTGAAATATTATACAACTTAGAAGCCTATAGAACCATTGAGCTTAGAGCCCACACAAGGGGAAGTCAAGCCAGAAATGAGAAAAACAGCCCACAAAAGGTAATGAGGTGACAAAGACCAAGATGTATAATACTCAGAATGACTTAGGAAATTGTAACCTCTTTGTACAACGACTTAATAATAAAAATAAACAAATAAAAAGGAAGTGGAGAGGGAGGAAGCCTACATTGGGAAAAAGAGACCATTTCCCCAAACTCAAAACAGCTCAGAAGCTCTCAGATCAATTAGCAATAACAAAACCAGAAGCATGAGGGGCCAAGGTCTCCATATGCCCCTAGAACCACCATGCTGCAAACAGACATGGCTATCCAAATGAAGAACAGGCCTCAGATTAAAACCTTCAGGCTGACCAACAAGAATCATGTCCATAAAGTAAAGGCCTTCATTCGCTATGGATACCTTTAATACAACCAGAGCTTTTCCTATACATTGTGTGTGTGTGTGTGTGCACTGATATTATCAGGACCTGACCTCAGGATGTGGGTGCCATCCCTTAACTTTTTTTTTTGTCAAGGCTGGCTTTCTACCACTTGAACCACAGCTTTACTTCCAGTCTTCTGGTAGTTAACTGGAAATAAAGGTCTCATAGACTTTCCTATCCAAGTTGGCTTTGAACTACAATCCTCAGCCTCCTGAGTAGCTAGGATTATAAATGTGAGCCACTAATGCCCCGCAGGACTTGACTTGTATTTAATCTGGAGTTTACTGCTTTTCTACTGGCTTCAGCACATGGTTTCCATTCAAATTTCTCCTCTTCTTGAAGTCGCCTTGGTCACCATCTTGTTCTAGGAGGGTGAGCAGCCACTGCGGCTTGGCTCTGGGATGCGAGTACAGGGAGGTAAGATGAACAATGTGTTGCAGTTTTGATGAGTCCGTAAGCCACTCAGGGACTGGCTTCCGTAGAGACAAGGCTAACTTTTCACCCTAGCCAGGCTTTGGGACAAATAACTGGACAACCGGGTTTGCCTGTGGGTTTAGTTTCAGTCACTGAGCCGCAGCCACAGAACGGCCACCTCTGTGGCCTCTGCTGTAAGAATGAAACCAGCTGTGACAGGGGCGCTCCAAAGTCAAGGCCAAGAATGTGCAGGAGCTCCAGCCGCCTCCCAGCACCGCTGCTGAACCCAAGAACTGTGTCAAGGGGCAGGCTGCTAGACCAAACAGACCTTTTCAAAAAGCCTTTGCAATTTAGAGTCTTAACCACTCCTTCCTTTTTCTGTTCAACACAACACACAGGCTGGGGACCATTCTTCCTTTAATGGAATTTTACCATCTCCCTTCTTTGCCTGGTGGGTCCCAGGGTGGACCAACCCACGCTCTTGGAAAAGGACCTCCCACCATGCTGACTCTTAAATCTTGTTTGGAACATCAGCTGTCCATCCAGAGCTGGATATAGACTGTGCAGTCAAACACAGAGCATAAGGGAAAATGCAAAATTCCCCCAGGCTGGCCACAGCTTCAGCTTAAGCAACACCCTCTGACCTGCACAGCTAGATCTAGCAGAGCAATGTTCCCACCCACCAATGCCATGTTTGTAAGAACTCCGGGAATTGGAATTGTCTTCTCAGATCAAGTATTTACAGAAGGAGGATTCTACTCCACTGGTCACTTTGCAAGAGAGGTTAATCTGACACCTCGCAGTGGATTATTTAATCAGAAACAAGCAACAAAACCCCACACAGGCAACTATCATTATTGGGTACAGTGGAGTCCACAGCATGAAATGGGTTGTGAATGCTCAGGTCCATGGGTGGTTTCTACTCAGCTGGGAAGCAGCTGTATGCAAAGTATCAGCTCCTTGCATGATCATCAGACATCTTCCACCAAGAGGAGGCCCGAGCCTCTGTGCTGTACAAGTGGCCAGGTTCTAGGTTCAGTTATTAGTTTAAATACTTGGACTTTTGTGAACGACGGATCTTCACCAACTGTCAAGTGGATCAGAGAAAGTTCTGCTGAGAATTGCCACGTTAATAAAAACTTAGACTCACAGTTCTGGTAAGGCAAGCTAACAAAGGGTAGATCTATATGTTAGGATCTTTTGAAAAAGAAATCCAAGTAATTAGGAAAGCCTGAAAAAAATTCTGAAGATACACTTCGAGGCTGGCTGCATCTTTTCTAGAGTTGTAAAGCATAGGTTTGAAAATGATAAGCCACAGAGTTCATTCTCTATCACTTGAAGCCAGTTTACTAGCGTTTCCCTCTCTCTTTGCAAATCTAGAAACACAAATACATTTCATGTGAGTTCAAATGGTCAAAATTAGAACTTTTATTTTTACAAGCTCCAAACTATTAAATACCACCAAGAAATCATGTGCATGGGAAAACAATGGCAGACACAAAATGTAAAATGTTTCTCCAGCCACAGCTGTGTGCATATAAGAAGAAATTGAAAACCTCTGGGAATGTTATTTTGATTAGAGACTCTTGTTTGCTTCAGAATATGAAAGTTTGAAAATCCCATTTTTCAAGTTACTGATTTGAAAGTCAACCTTTGCCCTCCAAGTGATTTACATACAGGCTTAAATCCAGGAAACTTAAGGTTAAAGTATAAATATTAATAACTTTGATTAAATTCAGCTTGGTTCCAGAAAGATATGATATGATACAACATTTTAGAATAAAACAAAACAGAAGAGAATCAGATTTTGGGTTATGTGAAACATACATAAGGTCCAACATTTTTTTTTTACCCTTGAGGATCTTTCTCTTCAGGAAGAAGCTAGAACTGAATTTGTTTGCTTAAAAGAAATCTCTAGATTGTATCAAATTAGTTAAGAGAAAGGCAGGTATATGTACACATGCACACAAATGTGTGCACACATGTTTACATAGCTAGTGCTCCTTTTACTTGCTTCTGAAAGGGGACAGAGCAATCCATAAAGCCCTCAGGTGGCTCAGCCTGCATGTAGCTCCATTAGAGAACGTAATAGCTGCCCAGCAGTAATAAAGCAATGCACCTCTGTCCCACCAAGTTGCCCCTCAGAAAAGAGTTGGGTCATCTTGCTGCTGTGAAAACCAGAGCCTTACTACAACTTTCCGGGAGAGTCAAGTTCTGGGAAGAGATAGCTTTGAGGGTAATGGTGAAGTCAGACTGCTGGTAGGTGTCTGTGAGAAGAGCTGTCAGGATGACCTCCATTCTAGTTCATCTGCCACAGTCCAAATCCATCAGGTTCTTTTGAAATAACATCACATGGTGTAGGTAAGAGCAGGCATGATGAAAGCCTGGTCAGTCAATTTAGGGCCAAAGGATAGACCAGCCAACTGTTCACATTTTAGGAATTTGAAATGTCTCAAAGTAGAAAGATGATTTAAAGGACAGAGAAGAGAAAAACAATAAAAGGGAAGAAAGAAAGGAAGAGCAGGAAGGAATAGAATGGAAGAAGGAAGGGAAGAAATAGGGGAGAGGGAGGGACGGAAAGTGGGGAACGAGAAAGAAACTGTATAGAAAATGTAAGCTAGTAAGAATTCCTCACTTGGAAATAAGGAACAAATGCATATAAAATGCATAAACATTGTGCAGGTTAATGCAATATTAAACAGTAGAATACATAGGCCTCAGAATACTTTTGCTATGGCACACATATACATATAAATATATAATGCCATGTATATAATGTCTCCAAGCATTTTTTTTAAAATATGCAAGATTAATTCAGGATCATTCTAGATAAAAATACATATTTCTTTAAAGGGGCAGGTTCTCAGGGCAGATCCGCGCAGACATACAAAAGTGAAGCTATGCTTTTTGGTAGGTTTAGTTGTTACGGCCGCAGAACTTTGTCATAGGCTGTTAGGTGACTGATAGGGAATTCTCCCATGAAGCTTTACAGGAGCTGATGAACCCTGTAGAAGCTCTAAGGTGAGAGAAGAGAGGCAGAGGTGCGGCCTGGCAGGGGTACGTGCTTGAAAGCAGAACGGGACCCTCTAGAGCTCCTCTTCTGCAAAGGGATAGGCTCTTAAATAAAATAACACTTCCTTAAAAATCTGCCACCTAGCAACTCTTTACATCATAGAAAAATAGCAATTCTGTAAAAAGAAATATAGTTACTTTGTTAAAATGGTCTATTTTTAAACCAGCAATTACTTTTCATATAAAGAACTTCTAAACATCCATTCAGAAAATAAAAATAGATAATACTGAGTGCAAAGCAGACAATGGCAAGTTTGCAAACCATCGAAGTATTTTCACTGGCAGATGAACAACACTCTTCAGTGTAGTACACCACAAGTGTTATCTTTTAGGAACTTGAAAAGTATTGCTTTTATTCTCCGATGGCAAGGTAGTCACTAGTAAAGTGACTCCAGCATTGGAAGGCCGAATTGATAGAAATGGATCACATGTAGCCAATCCATGTTTCCCTAAGCTCAGAGGACCCAGGCCCCAAGCAAATTGGGTCTAGGACCAAACTAGGACCAAGCATGAGCATGGAAGGCCTCAGGCACACTGACCACACTCCCAGTCATTTCAGTTCGACTCACTCCATTGTCCATATTTAAATTTCCACACAGAATCAGCTGAACACCAAACTATGTGCCAGCTTAGCCAAATCCATTAGGCAGGAGATTTTTCTGTGAAAACTCTTCTAAATATAGACATTAGATCTTCATGCTATGAAACAGATGGTTTTATCTCCACAAACAACTCTGTACGGACGCGTTTCCTCATCCTTTATGGAAGGTAAAGAAGAAGTCAGACCAGCAGTTTCCACCTTCTGCTGGGCACCGCGAGGGCATGGGCTGAATCAAGGAACACTGAAACCACCAGAGTGGTCCTGGCCTCCACCAACCTGCCGTCACACCCGCTCTACCCGGCTAGGGTCATACGACTCTGCAAAATGAAAAAAATAAAAGGGCAGTGAGTGGCATGTTCAACTGGCTGGTTTTTCTCTTTAATTCTTAGACTATAAATTCGCTTAGAGAGCAAAATCTACACATGTAAGAACTTCAGTCTGAGACCTTTCAGTAAAAAATTATGGTTAAAAGGTGGTTCACAGGACAATGTCTGGTTTTTACCCCAACATGGATGAGCTAAGTGAGTGGCTTAATGTTTAGATGTACTTCCTGTTTTCACTGTGAAAAATAATTCACCATAAATCTGATGTTTCTTAACCAGCCAGGATGTCCTTGGCTGATACCAAGCAGGAATTCTTTTCTTTCCCTTGTAAATTGCAACTCTAGTCAAAGCTTGCATTAGAATACACTTTCTGACATCAAGGCTTAGGGATCATGAAGTCCTTCCAGTGTGGAGCAGCCAGCAATGAGATGCTTCCAATCTCCAGATGTTGCCAGAAAGCATGCTGGATGCTCACCTGTCTTCTGAGACTTTCTAGAAGGACACACAGGTGTATCTGAGTCAAGACCATCACTGGATCCATTTTATAGCCTGCCACAGAAATTCCAAACTGAGCCTCAATACCTGCATTTTCAGAACAGGTCACTACATGTGAAAAAGTGACAATCCTGAATCCAAAATTTTAAATTGGTGTGTGTGTGTGTGTGTGTGTGTGTGTGTGTGTGTGTGTGCGCGTGCGCGCGCGCTGGTCCTGGGGCTTGGGCATTATCCCTGGGCTTTACTGCTCAACTCTAGCAATCTACCACTTGAGCTATAGCTCCAATGTAAGCTTTTTGGTAGTTAATTAGAGATAAGAGACGCACTGACTTTCCTGCCTGGGATGACTTGGAACCTCGGTCCTCAGATCTCAGCCTCCTGAGTAGCTAGGATTATAGGTGTAGGCAACCAGTGCCTGACATTTTCAATTCGTAAAGACAAGACGTTTAAGAAACCTGGAAGGGGTAGAATCATTGATACATAATGGAGATTCCCTAAGAAAGTTAAAAAGAGAAGTACCACATGATCCCACAGTCCCACTACAGGGTGTGTCTCCAAAGGAAATGAGGCAGTGTGTGGAAGAGCCAGTTCACACCCACGCCACTGCAGCACGGACACCACAGCAAAGACATGGAAATGACCTCTTCGTCCATCAACTGATGAGTGAACAAGGAAACTATTTATATGGAAATATACATAGAGGAATATTATTCAGCCTCAAAGAGGAATGCAACCCTGTTACTCACAGTAACATGGCTGATCTTGGGGATATTATGGTAACTGACCTAAGCCTGACACAGAAAGACAAAGGCTACATGAACTCACTTGCATATGGGTTAAACTCAAGTAACAGGGAAAAGAATGGTGTTTCCAGGAGACGGGGTGGGGAGAAGAAGGGGAGGTATTGGGAGAGCTAAACCCTCAGCTGAAACACAAGTACTGAAGAGCAATGGGCTGACCACAAGCAACAATGCTTCACTTAACACGACATCTGCCAGAGGGCAGACTTAGACTGCTCTCACCACACATTAAGACAAACTTGCTAATTATCGTGGTGGTACTTAGAATATGCACGTATGACAAGGCACAACTCCAGGAGACACTTTTTATTTCTTAATCATGTCTCAGTAAAGCTTGGAAAAAAGGTGATTCATTTATCTGAGTTATCATCTTATGATCATCTTATGATCTTATGAGTGAGATAAGCCAAGCTCAAAAGGCCAAGCATTACATATTTTTGGTTTTGTTTTTTGCTCACATGGAGAATCTAGACATAAAGTGGTACTAACAATAGTAATAATGAGACTAGATTATAAGAGAGGGGCTTGGGAAGAATCGGTGTGGGGGTGAAAGGGGAGGGTAGTGAGATAAACACAATCAAAGCACTTACATACACACATACACACACTCACAGGCAGCTGACTTGTAACAAGAGACAAGAACAGGGTGAGAGAAGATCATCTCTTTAATAAATGGTGCTGGAAAAAACTGAATATCCAAATGCAGAAAAATGATCTTAGACCTACCTCTCACCACATCAAAAAATATTCAAAATTGAAGACTTAAGACTCAAACTATGAAACTACCAGCAGAAAACAGGGGGAAAACCCCACTGTCTTGGTTGATCATCTTTTTGGATATAACCTCCAAAAGCACAGGCAAACAAAGCAAAAATTGACAAGTGAGATCACTTCAGGCTAAAAAACTTCACACAGCAAAGGAAAGAACAAAGCAAAGAAAATCTTGTAGAAGAGCTGGGGCAGTGGCTCCTGTTTGTGATCCCAGCTACTTGGGAGGTGAAGAGTAGGAAGATCACTATTTAAAAGCAGCCAGGGATATAGCTAGTGAGATCCTCATCTCAACAAAACAAATGTGGGGTGGGGGTGTGTCTTTTCGTGCCTGTTATCCCAGCTACATGGGAGTCACAAGTCCAAGTTCAAGTGATAGAATACTTGCCTAGCAAGTAAAAGGCCCTGAGTTCAAATCCCAATGCAAGAGCGGGAAGGGAGAATATGAATCTTATAGAATGGGAGAACACAGTTGCAAACTGTATACCTGACAAGACACTAATATCCAAAATATATGAGAAACGCAGTTGAATATGCAAAGAAACAACCTGATCAGTAATAGGAAAAAGATCAGAACTGATATTTCTCAGAAGATACACAGATGGTTTACAAGTATATGAAAAAAGACAAAAGACGTCCATATGGGTAAGGATGGAGAATGACATCGTGTTGATGGGAACATAAATTAATACAACTATAGAATGGAGGGCAGGAGGTCCTTGAAAGACCGAAGGAGCAGTACATGTGGCTGCCCAAACCGGCTCCTGGTATATGCGCAGAAGAGATGGAACTAGCACATGAGCAAGGTCTGTACTTGGTGTTCACTCAAACACTGGCCACACACCAGCCAGGACAAGAAACCAGACTATGAGTGGAAAAGACATTGCTTTCTGCTTTTGTGACAACATGGAGGAGCCTGGAGAACATTCAGTTAAGTGAAACAAGCCAGGCACGAAGAAAAGATAAAACACTGAGCGATTTCACCCACATGTCTAATCCAAGATGGCTGACATCAGAGGAATCGGGAGCAGAAAGAACATTGGCCACAGAGAGCTGGGATATTGGGTGGGGTGTGGGGGGGAGAGGTGCTGATGGCTGCAGGACAGGAAATGACAGGCGGGAAAGAATACTGTGCAGCGGATGACTATAGTAAATGACAACATGCTGCATTCTTGAGAAGTGCAGGGGGGTGTTCAGTGTTCTCACCATTGAAGCAGCTGAGTGAGGTGACACATCCGTTAATTAGCTGACACATTCGCTAATTAGCTAGCTTCATTGAGTCCACACTTGCATACATCAAAATATCATGTTGTACAAGACAAATAAATGGCCTTATCTGTCAGTTTAAAAGTCAGCCCCTCCCCAGAGCTCCCTTCCGCAGTCCACAGCATCTTGTCAGGGCAGAAGACCCAAGAGATCTGGGACAAATAAGTTATTTCAATAAAACATTCTGCCAAGGAACAGGGCCACACTGGTCAATGCTCCCAGAAATCATTCAGTAATAGTATTTGTGGGAAGTTTTCAAAGTGCCCCGAGTAGCGAATTTTTAATTTTGAAAGTTTCTATATTCTTCCAGGGGAAACAACTGCATGCATGTCTTCATCGACTTCTAAATTCTTGGATTTCAAACCAGAGAATGAAATGAGGTGGCAGGGAGCAGAGTTGCTGGAAGCAACTGGGGGAGATGGACGGACCAGCCTCAGCAAGGGGTATCCAGTAACTAGCCTTGTAAAGTGTGGTTTTCTCCAACCTGTACAACTTCCAATATTTACCTCCGCTCCTCTTCGAGTCATTTGGAGGCTGCATGACTGATGAATGTCTGGTGTCTTAACATCATGCCCAAGAATTTCTCTGGGCCTGTTTTTGTTTGTGATGCTGGTCCTGAGACTTGAACTCTGAGGGGCCTGGACAATGTCCCTGAGCTTTTCTTTTTTCTGTCTCAAGGCTAGCACTCTACCAACTGAGCCACAGCTCCACTTCCGGTTTTGAGGGTGGTTCACTGGAGATCAGAGTCTTACAGACTTTCCTGCTTGGGCTGGCTTTGAACCACGATCCTCAGACCTCAGCCTCCTGAACAGTCAGGAGTACAAGAGAGAGCCATCAGTGCCTGGCACTGGGCCTGTTTTTGTAAGAGCTGAGAAGGTGAAACTCACTTGAGGTAAAAACACTGTTGTTGTCAACGGGCAACTACCTGTGGCTCAGTGGATCACAGGAAGCCCCCAAAACAAATAAACCAAGAGAGGGCCTGCGCTCCTGAAGCCAGCGCCGAAAGCTTTATGAAACATTCTGTAAGGTGCTGTGGTTTGTCTCCCCCTGCCCCGCCCCCGCCCTCTCCCACAGTTGCTTTTTGGCAGCCTCTGCCTGATCTCCTGCTTTTTTTCACCATGTTACCGAAAGGCACAAGGCCCTCCCTCATCAAATGCAGCTCCAACAGGAACTTCTCAGCCTTCAAAATAAACCTCTTTTCCTTATCAACTACCTAGCCTCCAATATTCTGAGAAAATGAGTTAAGACACTGGGTGGATTTTTTTTCAGAAATGAAGTGTTAGGAATGGGCAAAGCTGTTCATTTAGTCCACTAAATCTTCTCAAGTATCCTAAATGATGTGATCTTTGAAAAAGAAAACAACAGAGGTTGGCAAGCAAGGAGTTCTGAATGGTGGCCATGTAAGACCCAGCCCAAAGGGCAAGGAGTGGATCAAATCCATCTACGTGTCCTTTCTTAGGGATTACTAAAGGCAGCGAGGGTCATGTGGGTGAACAGTTGGCATTGTGGGGGGAGGAAGTATGAGTGGAGGAGCTGGGGTCTCAACTAGCTTCACGGACTTTCCAGCAGCCACACCTCTTGAGCTGGGTGCTGGTGGCTCACCCCTGTAATCCTAGCTACTCAAGAGGCTGAGATCTGAGGACTGAGGTTCGACGCCATGATGAACAGGAAAGTCCATGAGACCCTTATTTCCTATTCACTACTAAAAAGCTGGAAACAGAGCTATGGCTTCAGTGGTAGAACGCCAGCCTCGATTGAAAACAAAACAAAAGAAAACAAAGGGACAGCACCCAGGCCCTGAGTTCAAGCCCTGATGCCAGCACCAAACAAAACAAAATGCATTCACCTCACTAACTTCTGAAAAGCTGGTCATGTAGATAGTTTTAACTATTAACATACACATATTAACATACACAATTTCTATAACGTTTTCATAACATATGACAAAAATATGATTTTTGAAGAAAACTTCTGGATAATTCTTCAAAGATGAAGACTTTCTGTTTCATGTTTGCTTCATTTTGAAAAAGGGTCTTGCTATGTAATTCTCACTGGCTTCCCACTTTTGATCGCCCTACCTCAGCCTTTTGAGCGTTGGGATTACAGGCTTGTACTACCACACCTGATGGAAATGAATAACTTTTTGCTGGAACCATTCACAGGGTCAACTTTATCTTTTATGAATATGTAAATTTGTATTATGTACCAATCTATCTATCTATCTATCTATCTACCTACCTATCTAATCTTAGCATTCAAAACTAATAGCAAACACGTGTCCCGGACCAAAACTGCTTACCTGGGCACCAGAAGTCTGGGTCCACAATCCTTTCCCTTCTTTGTGTTGATGGATGCCCATTTTCTTCTGGAGGGATAAAACCCTTGGAGACAGAGTGGGGGTACCCCAGTCTCCAGGCGGGGTCCTCACTGCTCCCAGACACAAGATCTCCTGGCTGCCAGTCATGGCCTCTCGAGGCCTTGGGGTCCTCGGCCTCCTCCGTGGAGTCTGCATTGTGGACGCTCAGACTCCGCATCCTTGACACTGAGCTCACCTCCTTCATTCGCATCAAGCGATCAGGGTCCACCCTCCTTGGAGGGGAGGCCAACTTCTCTTGTAAGCTCTCGATCACTTTGGAAGGGCTCCGAAGCCTCTTTTCTGAGCCTGTCCCATTTGGGGTCCTTTCTACGAAATGGAACAATGTGGACCTGAAAGGTGGCCTGACCTCCAGATCCTTCTCCTCAAAGGTCTTGGACTCCAAGGAGCTGGGCTGAGGCTCAGGGCCGGTGGTGTGGCCCACAGGGGCCCTGTCTACACCTGAGCACACCGATGCCTGGGGAGCCCTTTCCCCTACGAAGAGGGGACTTTCGGTCCAGCCACACTTTCTCCTGCCATAGAAGGCATCAGTGGCCAACGTGGGGCCCCCGGATGGTGCTGACCTAAGCACTGACTTTCCTGTGGACAAATCGGGGCTGCAGGGGCTGGCATCGGGCTTGGGTGGCTGGCTTTGTCCCGCTGCCCTGGTACCCGGCAGAAGGGACTCCACAGCCACCTCTATGCCTAGGATCCTCTCTGCCCTGGCCTGCAGAGACTCACCTGGAGGGATTTCCACCGCACCCTCTCCACCCAAAGCCCCATTTAACTCAGTAGTGTTTTGCTCTTGTTCAGGGTTGAGCCCTGTGGACCGCAGGTCTGGGGCTGAGAGACCTCGGGTTTTGTGAGCGATCGACAGCGGGACCACTGTGTCCCTCTCTCTACTACTCTCCCCCTTCAGCAGGACCCCTCTGCTCAGTGGCCCAGCACCGAAGTCTTTGGTGAGACCTTCTGAAGGCTCCTTCTGTTCAGCCCAGTAAGCTGAGCCTGCTGGTTTTGTGTCACTTGGTCTTGAAGTCACCCATCTTTGCACAGGACCTGGGCTGACTGCAAGCTTCGACAGGCCATTCACAGCTACCTGCATTGGCTGCTCCATCCTGGCACCTGCGTCTCCCCACTGGAAGGCATCGCCCCTGCTACCTTCTGCCTGGGTGGGGCTGGAGAAGCGAGGACAGTTCCCGCTGGGCCGCGGCTCTATGCTCCAGCTCTCAGACGTACTTTTAACGCTTCCCACTTGAGACTCTGGGTTCCCTGGAGCCGGCTGGGGACGTGGCTGTTGCTCAGGGCTCATTTCCGGGTGGCTTTTGTGGAAGCCCTGGGCTCCTGGTCTGCTGTCGGCCCAGGCTCCCTGCTGCAGATCCGCCTCGCTGCACTCACTGCTGTTGTCACCACTGCCTTCACTCTCACTCTTTTCCTCTTCTTGAAGCTCCTTGTTGAAACTTTCTAACTGACTTATCAGATCCCAAGGCCGACGGCTAACTGGTTTCAGGAGAAACTGACCAAACAGCTGTTCGCTATTGCACCGGGCAGCTGTGGGCTCTCCCTTCACCACCTCTGGCTTAGCTGTGGGCTTGGCTTCAGGTTCCTGACCATGGACATCGACGCAGGGCTGACTGGCGTCTGCTTTGGGCATAGATGCCAGATTTTTGGATGAGGAAGTCCTGGAAAAAGCACTGTTGCTGGATGGGCTGAGGGACACCTGACCCCTGAGGTCAGGGGCATTTGGCTTCTGTGTTTGGTCAGTGGAGGTTAAAGCCATGTGCAAGGGAGCTTCAGAAGCAGGAAGGTCTAAGGGCAGGGTGGGATCTGGGCTCCTTGGCTCTCCCGGCTCTGTAGCAGGGAGGTACCTAGGGCCTTTGGCTTCTTCAGAGAAACTGGTTTGGGTTTGCTGATCTCTATACTGGTGACCTGGCCATGAGCCAGAATACTTGAGCTCTCTGTGTTTTGTGAGGTACACGAACTTGAGGTCATTTGTTTGCTTGTCTTCTAGTTCCTCCAGGTCTTGTTTGAGGAACACGAACCTCCCAGCCATGCTTCCTGTGAGAGCCTGCAGCTCCAGGTCGGTGGAAGACATGCTCAGCAGACTTTGTTCTTGCAGATCTGCGTTCTTATCAAGCCCCGGCTTTCCCTCGGTGTGTGATTTTAAGTCATTGTTGTTCGTATCTATATCTGGCAGATGGGCCTCTGATTTAACTGGGATGGAAACCAAGCAAAATATGGTCTCGTTTGTTTTTTTCTTTGAACTTTTCTTGGTCTGAATCCCAGTCTCAAACTTTCGGAGCTTGGTTTGGCTTCTGCAGGTGTCCTCGCTCTGGGAGTGTGGGGAGGAAGCCTGACTCTCCGGGCATCTTCCTGACCACGGTCCACTCACCACACTGGGGTCTCTTGGGTCAGCGAAGCCTCCGTTTTCTCCATTCCTGGGGAGTAGGCCCCAAAGCCATTGGGGGTTGGGGTGTGCAGAAGCTGGGCCCAACTCAGCATCTGACAAGGGTGTCAGGTCCTGCGGGTGCAGGAGGATGCCGTTGTGCTGTGCTTGCCCGCGGGCTGGCTCTCGAGCTGTCACAGGGCCAGAGTCATATTGCCTGTCACGGAACTTCGTTTCCTCGCACAAGCCGGCGGGCGGAGCTAGTTTAATATGTCGTATCCTCGGATCATCGAAGGGGATGTACTGAACACAACCGTCATAGGTGGCAACTGGGTAAGCACGTGAGGGGAGCCCTTGGGGCAACACTGGGGCAACACCATATGTGTTCCCGGCACCACCAGGGCCAGGAGGAAGTGGACAGTTTGTTCCATCCTTCTCGGCTCCATGCTGCTCCTGCTGACCCTGGCTGTCACTTACATGTATGGGCTCTGTGTCTTCTAGGTAGGGGTTTGGGATGTGTTGTGGCGGTGACTTATAGGAGGGGGGAGGCACATAAACTGGAGGCTCCAAACCAGCGTCTGACACCCCAAGGTCATGCCTGGGGTCGTTACTTTTGGTCAGATAGCTGTTTGCGTCACTCTCCTGAAAGCTGCTATTTTCTCCTGCCCTGGATGGCTGGTATGAGCTGTAGGAGGGAGGAGGTTTAACAGGCCTTCCGAACTTTGGCCGGGGAAAAGGGGCTGGGGTAGCACCTTTCTCAGGGTTCCTCGTGGATTCCAGATGTGGTGCACAATTGGAAGGATGTGGGGGCATTCTAGGAACACCTGGTAAATAGCTGTCCTTGATGGAAAGGGGAATTTCTGTGCAAGCTAGGCTTTCGGGGGAAAGAACTCGAGGCAGTGACCGGGATTTCCTTTTGTTCTGAGACGTCAGCCCATGCTCTTCCTGAATGAACGGATACAGATCTTGAAACAGTTTCTCTCCGTCACCATCGGACATGTGCCTCCCCAATTTCCTGGACTCATTCCAGCTTTCCGGGCTTGCGCTGGGCCACTTGGCAGGCCCCAACACCCTCAGCTCTTCTTCCCAAACTGCTTTCTTCATCACTTGCTCTGTCCTGCCTCCGACTTCCCATGAACCCTCTCGCATGTGGCTCGGCAGGCCGTGCACTCGAGCCATTCTTCTGACCTCCTGGGCTTCCCGGTCCCTTGAACCTGGCAAGTTACTGACCTCCTGGCCTCTTCTTCTGTGGGTGTGGTCGCTGCCGACCTGAGGCTTTGAGGACCATGCTAATGTGGGTCGGCTGTACAACCTGCATGACAAGCAGAGCACAGATGTGAGACAAGGAAGAAGTCTGTCCTTCTCTGCTTCTGCAAGGGGCATTCAAAATCACAACTGGATCAGCACCTTTGAAAATTTGGCTCCCAATCACCATACTCTGATAATTTTAAAGAAAACAGGTCTAATTATGGGTGAACAACAACCATGTGTTTTGTCCTCAAGGGTTGAGTGACAATAATAAGGATGCCCACAAGAACCCTGGGCTCTGGATGTACCAGAGATGTAAGGCCGTTACTTTTCAAGTGCTCAGTGGCCTAAGGATATGCTCTGAAGCAGTGGTCCTGGACCTCCTGCTTTATGTTCCTGGCTCAGTCTACAAGTACCCTCCACATCTACCTGGCAATCTCTGCAAACCTGCCTTTGACAAAGCCGCTCTTCGGCAGTGAGCCTTGAAATTCAGTGGGGTGGCATCCTCATGTTCAGATTCAGCATGACTGAGATGGGGCCCCCACACTCTGCACCCCCAATGAGTCTCTAGGCAGTGATGATGCTGCCCATCCTAGAGCCCTTCTATGGCTGTCACCTGTGTCTGCACATTTGAATGTGGAGGGAGTTGAGAATTCACAGAGCCTAACAATGCCCTACATACATCTTGTTAGAATCGGGGACATCAGAAACGCTGCTTGTTCCCTCAAGTGCTCCTCTGGTGTAGGAAGACCACGGTTCACAGCTCTGGAAGAGGTACCTTGCTGCTCTGGTGTGGAAAGCACCAGAGAGGCTGTTAAGCACCATTATGCTGTGCATAATAAGGTTTCAATCCATGACAGACCGCATACACAACAGCAGTGCCCTAAGATTATCATGGAACTGGAAAAGTCCTGTCCCTTAGTGCAACACTTTGTTTGTAGAGATGATAGTGTAAACATACTTATTGCCCTGCCAGACATATAGAAATATAGTCCATGCAATTATGTATATACACTATACTTGATAAAAAATATGATGATGTAACTGATTGGGGTACTTGCTATACTTTTATTAAGAGTGTACTTCTTACCGAAGTTAACTGCAAAGGAGTGTGTTGCATACACCTAGCAGCAGTCCCATGCATCCTTCATGTCTTTTGTTGTTGTTGTTGTTATTGTAAAGGTGCTGTACAGAGGGGTTACTTATGTAAGTCAGGTAATGAGCACATTTCTTTTTGAACGGTGTCACCTCTTCCCTTGTCCTCTCCCAGGTTTTCCCTCCCACCTTCACAAGTTGCATAGTTCATTTTCAACCCAGTGTCTAGTGAGTTATCATCTAGTGAGTTGTTCATCGTTTGTCCCGCCCTTTCTGTGCTCCCCCTTATCTCTCCAACTCAGCGAAACTTACATAGAAGACAAAAGGTACAGAAATCAAAAACAGAAACAAAGGGAAGAGAAAACAAAAGCAAACACAGAAAGCAAAATAAAACAAAAAACTCTTGCTTCCAATTCTTGGTGTTCTTCTCAATAAACCTCCTGTTAACAATTCTTGGAGTTCTTCTCAACAAACATCATTTTATATGATCATATGCACATAACTATTGAGCCTTTGTGATCCTCTCCTAAGAATATCCTTCTTTGGTCTCACTATGTGAATGTCTAGTCTTGTATAATTTATCATGTCCAAGTGTAATTTTTTTGTCTTTTACCACCCAGTGTGTTTACTTGTAGATTTATAGGCACATTCTAGTTACAACAAATGAGGGAAACCATTGCACGTCATTTGTGTCAAGAGACCTTGTGCAGTGATGACCTTTGCCACTGAGACCTACACAACAACAAAAATCACCTAATGACCCATCTCTCAGAGTAAGTGACAGGTGGCTGTAAGGTCTCTCTTGGTGAAAGTTAAAATTTGGCAGGTCTAGATCTAGTCCTGGCATCTGTATTTTTAAGAACCACTGCAATAGACTCTTACCCTCAGGTGATCTGAGCATAAGATGGGGTTGGGCATGGGGAGATGACTATCTGTCTGTACATTAGAACTTCCTTTGGCTCCTTACACAAATGCCTACCCCAGATGTTTAGGTTTAGTTGGTCTAGGAAAGGACCCACCACAAATATATTTCACAATCTCCTGAAACCACTCAAGCATGTATCCAGGAATGAGAATGCAACAGAGCAATGTACCTGGGTAACACTGTTAATCTGGGCAAGAATATTAAGATTTGATCTATAAATGACCAGATAGTGTGGCTCTATGATGGGAAAACCATCTACTCAAGGGATTCAGTATTCTGACTAACAATGGGCCAAGCAGAATCTTTAACTCTAAAATCACTGATTTGTAAAGGAATATTACATATATGTATACATATATTTATACATATATGTATACATACATAAATATATATGGATGGATGTGTATATACATATATACCTATATATGTATATATGTATATCTACATATATAGATACACATATGTATGTCTATATATATGCATATATATATAGCAAAACACAAACATACACCTCATTGTTGCAGATGAATGTTGGAAGAGTAAAGTACCAAAAAGACAAAAAAAATTACACTTGGACATGATAAATTATACAAGACTAGACATTCACATAGTGAGACCAAAGAAGGATATTCTTAGGAGAGGATCACAAAGGCTCAATAGTTACGTGCATATGATCATATAAAATGATGTTTATTGAGAAGAACTTCAAGAATTGTTAAAAACTACTTCTAATCTTCCTACCTAGAGGCAGCTGCTGTAGTATATGAATCTTCTAATCTATGTGTATATGAAAATGTTGGTTTTCCATGTTTATTGCAGCATTATTCACCATAGCTAGGATATGGAACCAACCCCGATGTCCCTCCGTAGATGAATGGATCAAGAAAATGTGGTATATATACACAATGGAATTCTATGCCTCCATCAGAAAAGAATGACATTGGCCCATTTGTTAGGAAATGGAAAGACTTGGAAAAAATTACATTAAGTGAAGTAAGCCAGGCCCAAAGAAACATAGGCCCCATGGTTTCTCTTGTTTGCAATGTCTAGAACATGCCTACAACAAACAGAGAAGGTCAAAGGCTATGTACGTATCACCATATGAGATAATGTTAAGCAAAATGTGTCCCAAGACAGGGACAGAAGGGTTTTTTTTCTTTCTTGCTATTGGTTTTAATGTACTTATAATGCAGTATGTGATTCTTTTGTTTCTTTTGTAAGTTCTTCCCCCATGGTATAACCCCTGTTTTCACTGTATTTGCTTCCGGTGTTCTGCATCTTGTATATACATTTTTGTAATTTGGGGAGGGGAAGGGGTATAGTGGAATGCTTAAATGGGGATGCAGGTTGACTCAAATGAACTTTACAAGTTTGGAGGAGGGGAAGGAGTTGCAGAGGGGGGGAGGGAAGTGATGGTGGGGGAAAATCAAAGGAAGGGTAACAATGCTCAATAGGACATGTACTCATTACCCTATTCATGTAACTGCAACCCCTCTGTACAGTATTTTTACAATAAAAAATTTAAAAACAAAAAAACGTTGGTTCAAACAGTCTCCATGTTCCTTAGTCATCAGGGTTGATGTGAACACTTCCCAGTGCTTTGGGGTTCACAGTAAGTGCTCCCTGCCCCTACCTACTCACTCACTTAAGGCTCAGTGGGAACCCTTGTCATTCCCACTCAGAGGAGGAAACAAAGGCAGAGAAGCAGTCACTTGCTCGACATTACTGACACTCAAGCTGTTTCCTGCATTGTGTCCAGTATGTCAAATGAGTTGTTTCACTGAAAGTTAATACCACCATTATTCCCCTGTTCAACATATAAACAGGGATAGGATAAATGACTCTACTAAATAACATAGCTCATAAAATGTTGCAAAAAATTCTAATCTGAGAAGTGTGAACCAAAAGCCTACCCACTAGGATGCTTTACTTCTCCCAAGGTAATAAAAATTCAAGTGTTTAATTTTCACAGATGAGTAGTTTCCATCATATATTTGCAATTTATTTAGCATGGTCCCAATACAAAACATTCACTTGGTTCTAGCACATGATTTTTGTTTGTTTTGTTTTGTTTTGTTTTTGAGACAGGGTGTTACTTGTGGCCCAGGCTACTCAAGATTCTCCTGCCTCAGTTTCCTAAATGTTAGGATTACAAGGGTGTGCCACCATGTCTGTATAGTCAAAATATATTTAGAAATACAAATATTAAATGCAAGTCTTAGATTATTTGGAATGAATCTTGAGAAAAAAATGAGTACATCCTAGGACTTAATGTCAAGTGGGCCTTAGATAAGCCACCAAAGGTCACCTGGTGTGCAGGCATAGCATTGCTGAACTTTCTCATTCCTCCTTATAATTACTTTTTTTTTCCTATACTACATAGGTGAAATCAACTTCTCATTACCTTAATTTGCATTTCTTCAATTACTGGAGAGGTCAATTTTCTATGTGATGAAGTGTTATTAACTGGCTTGGGGATTTAGTTTATTTCTCCATCACACTGAACCAGCTGTGGTGGTGAACTCCAATAATCCCAGCACTTGGGAGGCTAAAGCAGGAGGATCACTGAGTTAAAAACCAGCCCGGGGAACAAAGGAAGTCCAGGCCAGTCTTGCTACATAGTGAGAATCTGACTTTAAAAAAAAAAAGTCCAATTTTGCTTTGTGGTACAGCAGAGTGAAGATCGTGAGGGCTGGGGAGGGGGTCCACGCAACAATGGTATGGGATAGACTCCAGGGGGACCATTCCTTACACAGGCAGAAGGAGGCACTTTACAAGGAGCCCTGGTAACGATATAGTGTTACTATCCCTATTTTGGAATTACTTCTTCAATTTACAGGACATCAAGGACAGCTTCCAAATAACTTAAGAAGCCAGTGATGGGTAGGAACTATTTTACGTCATTCTGACGTAAAACATGTGCCACCAAGCAACCATAAAGCTGTAAGCAGGCTGTCAACACAGAGCCATCAAAATTGTGTTTTCAACTCTTGGGGTTTTGAATGCTTGGCAGACCACTGCTTACACTGGAGGTCTACAAAGAA